GAGAAGGCTGAGTCATTGCAAATAAATGTGGAGTTTGAAGAGTGTGAGGAAGTCATCTTCTCAGTTCTTGGTCCTCGGAGTGTTCACCTATCTGGCCACTATCTTCCTCGTCACCAACATCACAATTTTGATGATGATAATTCGTATCCTTTTGTTTAGTGTGGTTATTGTTTAGTCCATTATCGTTTCTTCCGTGCTTAATACTTTTGGTCAAATTTCTCTGTTTTTACTCCATCACTACCTATCTAATTAGTTAATGGGAAAGGAGAGAAAAAAACCGTAGGACACTTTTTTTTTTCTTTTGCAAAAAATGGGAACCCAAGAGACTAAGAGACTAGTTTCTTTTTGGGGGGATATTTTCTATCCAAGATCAACGCTACATAACCCTTTTGGTTATGGACATTTTTCATCGTTTGTCTCATGTGAGGTTATCTTTAGTTTCCCTTTACTATGATTTCAAGAGAATCTTATGGGGAAGATATTGCTAATTCCGAAACCAAGATGTCTGTTGATAGTGAAGAAGACAAGTATGAAGATAGTTTTATTAATGATGATGACCCAGAAGTCTTCCCAGCTTCTCCTGTTCTTGATAGTGAAGGTACGGCTACCAAATATATGCTTTAAATTTTTCTCTCACAAAATGTAGTATACATGATGTGAAAGTTTGGTCATTAGCAGTAGCTCCTGATACAGGAGTCAGCTGAAAATAAATAAAGCCCAGTCAAGTACAAGCTCCTATAATTAAGAGTCCTAGTTTTTTTTTACGTAACTTAAATCATCGTTTTGGTGCTTGTTGTAGACAACCTGCTCATGTTCATCTACTCCGTGTTCAGTAGTGTATGTCACCAGTTTTTTGGTCTCTGCATCACATTTGTTCAGTTTTTTGGCTTGCATCTTTAGTTCATATCAAGTTAATGTCCTCTTGAAGATGAATCATTGGTGAATTTTTGCAATACTATTCTGAGATATATCTATCTGGTGTGTAGAGGAGCTTTTGGACGAGCATAAACCTCATAATGGCAAGGGCCATCGAAGACGACTTCGGAAGATGTACCAAGTGAGCGAGTCCGAAGTGGAGGGTGAAGATGATGACAGATGCCTAATTTCCTCTTTGTACAAGACAAAATCCAGTACTAGAAACACAACAGAGGAAGTTGAAGAAAAAGTTGACAAGAGAGCCGCAGATACCACTACTAGCAATGAAACAGAGGATGGTGTCTTTAATGCTACTGAAACAATGAACGATGGTGATGATGTGGATGTAGATGGTCAGTTGAAAAGGTATTTGTACTGCTTAATAAGACCATGGAAGCTTGTGAAAAAGATTGATCTCTTCCCATCAGTTGAATATATTTTCATTGTACTTGTACCAAATTGAGTTATTGTTGTTTGTCATCTTGATTGCCAAATTGGAATGCAGGCAATTTGACCAGCCAGTAGATACCTTCCTACCTTCTTCTGAAGAAGGCCTTGAAATTGGTGGAACACCAAAGAAAAAAAGGAAAGAACGGCTGGATGATAAAGCATTTGAATCTGGTTTTCGTGAAAAAGAGGACGAAGCCCAAAATGATGACACCAAAGTTGAAAATAGGACCCAAAATTTGTGTGTGGAGGATGGACAAGAACAGAAGGTGGCCAATCATATGTGAGTTCTTTTTGCTTCATTTTCCTTGAATAAGTACATTCTGAATCATGAATCTTAAGTGTGCATACTATTCTTTAAAGTAGGAGAATTTACAGACAATGATGTTTGTTGGTTTTGATTTTCGTTATATTATTGGTGTGCTCAAGCAGCGCACTTGAAGGGCCAGATGATTTTTCAAAGCCTTCAACAGAGGTCAACCTTGAAAATGATGGAAAACTGAAGAAAAAAAGGAAAGAGCGGCCAGAAGATAAAGCACTTAAAGCTGGTATCCTTGAAAAGGAGGATGAAAAACCCCAGAAAGATGACACCAGAGCCAAAAATAGGATCCAAAACTTGTGTGTGGAGGATGGACAAGAACAGATAGTGGCCAACCATATGTGAGTTCTTTTTGCTTCCTTTGTCCCCGTATAATTACATTCTTACCTCATGATACTTAAGTGTACATACTATTGTTTAAAGTTGGAGAATTTACAGACAATGATATTTGTTGGTTTTTATTTTTGCTATATTATTGGTGTGCTCAAGCAGTGCACCTGAAGGGCCAGATGATTTCCCAAAGCCTTCAACAGAGGTCAACCTTGAAAATGGTGGAAAGCTGAAGAAAAAATGGAAAGAACGGCCAAAGGATAAAGCACTTGAAAAGGTGGACGAAGCCCAGAAAGATGACACTAGAGCCCAAATTCAGACCCAAATTTTGTGCGTTATGGATGGACAAGAACAGAAGGTGGCCAAACATATGTGAGTTCTTTTGCCTCGAATAAATACATTCTCAATCATGATACTTGAGTGTGCATATTATTTTTATGGATGGAGAATTTACTGACAATGATGTTTATTGGTTTTGATTTTTGTTTTATTATTGATGTACTCAAGCAGTGTACCTGAGGGGCCAGATGATTTGTCAAAGCCTTCAATAGAGGTCAACCTTGAAAATGGTGAAAGGCCAAAGAAGAAAAGGAAGAAGCGTGTGGAGGGGAAAATATTGGAGGTTGTCTGCACTAACCTTGATGATGTTGTTAAAGAGGATAAAGGGCAGCAGGATGAGGCAAGGGGTGGCATCTGCCCAGATCTACCTGTGAGGAGTGAGCAAAATCAGCAGTCAGCCAAGGATGGGTGAGTTATTTTTACCTCACGTTTGTCTCTGTGTCACAAGATATACTTTTTGCCCCCTTGACTCCACCTCAGTCTTGGGAATAGCATGAAAGGACATGTCCATTGAAATGGAGTGTAAACTTTAGTAAGCGGTTCCATTGATCAAATGTATTGTCTATTATTATCTTCTATCAGGAAGTTAAAAATTTCTCTCCCTCACCCAATTCCAATATCTATGCGATTTTTAGGCCATGTCTGGTTGTGTGCGATTTTATTATAGTTCCCTTGATTGAGTATAAAATCTGTATGTCCATTTTTCCAGGAATTCTGGCCATGATTCTGGTAGATTTGTTGATGGTCAATCTGATGAAAAGAAAGTTAAAAAGAAGAAGAAGAAAAGTAAAACCGAAGCACATGAGGTAGCTGGGAACACAGATGTGCCTCTCTTGTCAGCAGAAGATAATGCTAATGCCAAGTCATCTCAAGTTAAGACCTTCCCAAGTGGATTAAGAATTGAGGAGTTAGAAGCTGGAAAACCAGATGGCAAAGTTGCCACATCGGGGAAAAAGGCTAGTCTTTCTGAATTTGTATTTGATCTATTTGATATTGATGCTTTTCTAAAATAAATATTTGGATGTGACCCTCCAATGGATAATGGTAGCTTAGCTGAATTATTCTTAGTCTGAAACTTTCTTCTAGAGCAAGTTAAAGTAAAAGATTAATGGAGCTATGTTGATTGTAGTAGTTTCTGTTTCAGATAAGTGTTCACTATGTTGGCAAGTTGAAAGAGAACGGCAAGGTAATGGACTCAACTGACAGCAGTGCTCCTTACAGGTTTCGCTTAGGTATCACCAAATGAGATAAACTAATATTTTACCAAAACATTGTTTCTGCTTTTGTATTTACATTTGTTGCTTCTTGCAGGCAAAGGGGAAGTTATAGATGGTTGGGATGTTGGCATTGACGGTAATGGCTACTAAAATTTCATCTATATTTTATAAATAAGTTTTTGACGTTTTGATTATATTGCTTTCCTTATTATTTCAAGACTCTTGTGATGTATGTGCATGATTCTCAGGTATGCGAGTTGGTGAAAAAAGAAGACTTGTTATACCCCCGTCATTGGCGTATGTTATTAAAATTTAGCCAACTGATTTCCTTCTCTGCTTTTTTCTTTTTTGGTTTCTGACTTGCTGTACATGCTTGCAGCTATGGGAGTAGAGGAGATGGTGCAGGTATACCACCAAACTCATGGCTGGAATATGATATTGAATTAGTGAAAGCTCGTTAAGCGATCAATTGATCAATTCTACAGCGTTTGGTACCGGCCTCTGTATTTTGTTTGGGCATATTGTCTTTTTGAGATTTTTCTCCCCTTCTCATCAGTACGAGAGGAAAAAAAATGAGGGAGTAACAACAGGGTTGGGTATGGTTTTCAAATGTATGGGAACGGCCTCGAGATTTTGCAATAGAAAGCTGGCTTTTGGGATGTTTCTGGAAACGTTTTGCTCTGGTCTAATTGAAGTTGTAATTTCCATTTATCCACGTGTTTGATTCCCCATGTTCTCAAATGGCGTTATAATTGCAGTGTTAAGTCTTCTCAAAGTGTACTGATCGGATCAACCCGAACTCGGATTTATTGACTGAAGTTTTAATCACCAGCAGGGTTAGTAAGATCCAACATGGGGAGGCAAGTAACTATTATTCAAATGCTTAAAAGGGGTAATTGGCTGAAATACAAGCTGTTACTAGTTTAGGGAATAAATCGACCAAAAAAAAATACATTACAAAACGATCTTTAATTGATCTGTCAAGGCATTAACCATACAAATTATAATTTATATAAAGTATAGTTTTGGTATGAGAATTATTAGACCAAATACGAGACTGATTGTGTTGAAATGTGTAAGGCTATTATAATGTTGTGTTGCTGTATCCATTGACAAGTTGGAAAACTAAAATTAGAGACTTTTCTCTAGTGCACATCTAAATTACACATTTGACCAAGCGAAATCTAATGGCTCTTGTAGTAATGCACAGTGCACTTTTGATGTGCATTGGAGAAATTTCACTAAAATCAGGCGAGCGGAGTGGAAGATTCTTTTGTGTTTGATGGGCCGCCGAATTGGGCTTTGTGGTGTAGAGAGTCCAAATTGGCAGGAAACTGGGAGAAACCCCGGAACGGCAAGAAAAGGGTATGTGCCTCGGAAAATTTTGAATTTCAAAAAGGGGTTGCCCGTTGTGCAAACCGATACGAAATTTCCGTCAATACCCTTCCCTTCAACGTATATATAACTTAGACGCTCTGCCCTCCTCTTTTGTCATTTGAAGTATTTGAAAATTTGAAATCAGCAACCAGCAAATCAGGAATCCAGAGAGACGAAGAAGAGAGAGAGAGAGAAATGGAGATGATCGGAGAGGCGAATAAAGGAGCGTCGGCGATGGAGGCGTTCGAGAAGCTTGAGAAGGTGGGAGAAGGGACGTACGGGAAGGTGTACAGAGCGAGAGAGAAGGCGACTGGCAAGATCGTCGCCCTCAAGAAGACTCGCCTCCACGAGGACGAGGAAGGCGTCCCTCCTACCACTCTCCGCGAGGTCTCCATTCTCCGCATGCTCTCCCGAGACCCCCACATCGTCAAGTTCGTTTCCTTTCTTCTTCTCTCTCTCTCTCTCTCTCTCTAACTTTCTTCCTTTAATTCTACAAATTAGGGTTTGATTTCGTTCTTGTACTTACGGAAATGAAATCTTCAATTGATTGGTTTGGGTTTTCTTCTTTTTCTGTAAATCCATTGATTTGGTCGGTAAATTGTGAATTAACGAAACCCTAAACCCCAATTCTGTAATAGGTTGATGGATGTGAAACAAGGGCAGAACAAGGAAGGAAAGACTGTACTCTACTTGGTGTTTGAGTACATGGACACTGATCTCAAGAAATTCATCCGCACCTTCCGTCAATCTGGAGAGCAAATTCCCTCCCCCATCGTTAAAGTCTGCTCTCTCATTTGTTTGTCCCCCAAATGTTTATTCCCAATCAACTTAATCACACATGGAATTGTGTAATTGAAATGGTGATTTTCTGATGATGCAGAGCCTGATGTTCCAACTTTGCAAAGGTGTTGCCTTTTGCCATGGTCATGGAATTTTGCACAGGTGACCTTTTGTCAATTAACTTACAAACGACATGCTGTTTCTCTCTCTTTTCTTTGCGCTTTGTTTCTCCCTTCGAGTTTTCTTTTAAGTTGGGTTGATTTGTTTTACTTCCATTTATGCAGGGATCTTAAGCCTCACAATCTCCTGATGGACCGTAAAACTATGATGCTTAAAATTGCAGATCTTGGACTTGCTAGAGCTTTCACTGTGCCACTCAAGAAGTATACTCATGAGGTAGTTAATGCGTTCACTTTTGGTTACAAGTTATTTTGTTGCTTTTGACAGTAGCTAAGGAATTTGTGCAAGTACGACTGCAGATATTGACCCTTTGGTATAGGGCTCCTGAAGTCCTCCTGGGAGCTACACACTACTCAACTGCAGTGGATATTTGGTCTGTTGGCTGTATATTTGGTACTCATCTGTTTTTTACGAAGCTTGCATTTGATTTTCGATAGTTTTGAATTTGTAAAAATTTGCCCCATTGGTTTAACGGTATATTGTTTCTGAATTATAGCTGAACTTGTCACGAAGCAAGCAATATTCCCTGGGGATTCTGAACTGCAGCAGCTCCTGCATATATTCAGGTTCACTAAAATAGTTTCCACTTCCCAGTTACCAAAAATTTGCCGACTACTTTCATTAAGTGTCAATTAGCCCAGTTCTTTTGCTTATGGATCTTTGATGCAGGTTGTTGGGCACTCCAAATGAGGATGTGTGGCCAGGTGTCAGTAAGCTCAAGGACTGGCATGAGTACCCCCAGTGGAGTCCCCAAAGTTTGGCAAAGGCTGTTCCCAATTTGGACGAAATGGGGCTGGATCTGTTGTTGGTATGTTCGATTTTGCTTCCCTCAAAATGTGCTACTTTATATAGTTTTTTGTTATTCTACTTGGTGAGGAATACTAGTTCTAAATATGTTGTTTATGCTTGCAGCAAATGTTGCAATACGATCCTGCTAAACGCATTTCAGCAAAGGCAGCTATGGAGCACCGTTACTTTGATGGTTTGAACAAGGATTCTCTCTGAAGAGGCACGATGAAGCATACGTGGATCGGGATGGGTAACAGAGATGCGCTCTGTAGTAGTACTGAGTTCTATTTGCTCTCCTCAAGCATATTTGCATTGTGTTTATAAATCTTTAGGATCTATTAGAACAAGCATATTTGCTAATCCATAGGATTCAACAACTCAACAATCTCAAGCATATTTTTATGTTCAGTTAGAAGATTGATGTAATGTTTTGCTTTAATGGGTATGCTTTATAGTTTTACATTCGCGCAATGAAAATTGAGTCATTGGTACTGGAGCGGAAGCAATTGGTAGACCCAAAACCAATGTAACTAGCAAATTACACATGATTAACCAAAGCCAATCAGTAGATTCATTTCATTTCTTCTGCAAGACTACCATTTCTTTCAATTGATTTTTTTTTGTTTTGAAAGAAATGATTGAATTTCATTAAGGCTAAATAGCCAAAATGGTCATTGAGATTTGTATAACTCATCACTTCAGTCCCTAACATTTCAAATCAATAAAAGTGGTCCCTGAGATTGTTCATCATTCATCATTTCGGTCATTCTGTTAAAAACTCCGTTAAGTGTCCCAGAGCTCTTGGCCAGAAGTTTGGGCAATTTTCAAAGCTTCGTAACTCAATTGTTTCTTAACGAAATTTAACTCATAATATATTAAAATGAAGATAAGAAAATGTAGAATAAGATTATACCTATTTGGAAGCCCAATGGTTGCTAGAAACTAGGTAAACTTTAAACGTTCATAACTTGAAAACTTGAAAGTTGACTGGTTCGAGGGAAAACTTGAAAACTCACCGGAAACTGGGTAAACTTTAAAAATTCATAAGTTCTTCAATACTCAACGAAATCAAGTGATTCAAAAACGAAAATCATACTTCTCGACAAGACGAAGAGAATGGTACTTTTTTGATGGCTAACTCGAAGTGATTTGGCCGGAAAACAGCTTGAAAGTGGCTGTCTTGGTCTCGAGTTAGCCATTTTCGAGCCGTTTTCCGCCTAAACCTAAGTGATTTAGCCGTCTAGAAAGATACCATTCTCTTCATCTTATCGAGAAGTGTATGATTTTCATTTTTGAATCACTTGATTTCGTTGAGTATTGAAGAAGTTATGAACATTTAAAATTTAACTACACTTTCAAATAGGTATTTTCTAGCCAATTTTGAGGCTATTTTCCAGCCATCTCCGGCAGCTATTGGGCTTCCAAATAGGTATAATCTTATTCTACACTTTTCTATCTTCATTTTGATATATTATAGGTCGAATTTGGTTAAGAAACGATTGAGTTACAAAGCTTTGAAAATTGCCCAAACGTTTGGCCAAAAGCTCTGGGACACTTAATGGAAGGACCAAAATGATGGATGGTGGACAATCTCAAGGACCACTTTTATTGATTTAAAATGTTAGGGACCAAAGTGATGATTTATGCAAATCTCAGGGACCATTTTGGCTATTTAGCCTTTCATTAATAACCACCCACTTACAAGGATGCCAAAACCATCCGCTTACAAGGATGCCAAACGGGTACATAAGCTCTAATGATCAATTTCTTGATTTGGAGGTAATGAGCATTGCAAATAATTTAAAACCCCTATACGGCAATCACTTAAAACACACCACTACAACGAGGAGTCCCGAGATTGATATGACCCGTAAGTGGCATACCAAGCACCGAAACCCTCACCAAAACCTACGCTAGTCAGCGAGGCTACAAAATCGCAGCAGCGACACAAACCAATTGTCGAAGCAATACAAACTAGACTATAAAATAAAAGAACAAGGTGAGTGTGATGGGTCCACAAAGAGATGTAGTTGCAAGTTGGTAGTTGGCGTGGGTAACAAAAGGAAAGGGACCTGCAGGAATGTCGGGAGGAATGGGAGGCCAGTTGTAGCCGGGACGAGCTCAGAGAGGTGGGGAGGAAGATCCAGCTAGTGCCACCATAGTTCTTGGAACGTCCACACCGCAAAACCAACATAAAAGTACCAAGAGCCGCCAGCAATTCCTCCTGTCGGAGTTAGTCGCAGTGATGGCAAGAAAAGCGGTTGCACCGCCATCTCCACCACCACCATGAACCCAAAGAGGACAAAATGATAGTTCCAAGGGCAGAGCCCTCAGATGTCCAATCAATTGAGAGAAACCAGCTAGCAAATATGCACACCAACGAATTAGGAAACTAAGAAGCCGTCGCCAAAAAGCTCCAAGTTCAAACCCCACCCAGGAGCAACACGAAACCGAAAAACAAAATCTCCGGAGGCAAGACCACCACCAACCAGGTAAGAAGAGCAGAAAAAAGAAAAGAACTGCAAGTCCAATACCCACAAACCAACCTAGAAAACCCACCCAAAACCGCAGATCTAAGCCCCAAACAGGAGCCCAATGCGGCAATAGATCGGGGTAGTGGGTCGAAGGCTCGCATAAACCATGAGAACTGGAAGCGCACAGAAGAGTATGGGGAGAATGTGTAGGTCAGACCAAGGAAACAGAGAGGAAAGCGAGAGAGCAGCGGCTAGAGGGGTTCAGGGGTGCGGATAGAAAGGAAAAAAGTGTGGAAAGCAGCAAGGGCAGGGAGTAGGAAGCGAGGGGTGGAGAGGTTAGGAGGAGGGGGATGCTAGAGAGAGGTGGAAGGGGACCCAAGCCTAAGCAAGGGACCGGCGGCTGAAGGTTTGCAAGGTTAGGGTTTGTTTCCTAGCAGAGAGAAAACATATATCATGTCAATTTCTGCTCAAGCAGATTTTCAGCTACAACTTACTATTGATTTGGCAAAGTGGAACATTCCTTCTGACGAATTGATGTAAAACTTTGATTCACAGTCGCGCCACAAGCCATATGAAGGCGGTGGACCAGAATGTAAGTGACAGTGAAGCAAAAGCATAAGTTCACAGCTTGATAACTGAACATTCATTCTTTCCTGCTCCAAATAATTGCGTCATTGTTCCTGCCATATTTTAAAGATCAATAAACAATACTTGAGAATAAACTTACATTTGTTGCGAAAAAGAGTGAGGGAGTGAGCAAGCGAGCAACTGCTTTTGTTGCTAAACAAGAGAAGAGCAAGCGTACCTATGCTCATTGCAGGTGGGAGTGAAAACTGAAGCAGAATGGATCAAAGTGCACCAACCCAAATTTTAGTGCCCCCTTAACAACCAAGATGCCTATAAGATGCAGGGCAACATAACGAACAAGTAGGATGCCAACGACAAGAGATTGTTGAATCCATGACCCTCTCAAACCTAAAACAACAAGGTGTAGTAAGTTGTAAACTAAACCAACAACTAAGTACGACGCTAACAGAATTTGTATGAGTTATTACCTTTTATTTGGTTTCCTCCTATTATCAAAGTAAGAGCTGGGATGGCTCAGTCTCTACAATCATAATTAGCTCATGTTGAGTGATCAACAAACGCTTTGTATAAAGAACATGCAAACCATCTCGTCTATATATGTTTTGTAAAGTTGGGCATAAGATTTAGTGTTTTATACCCCAACAAAGAAGCAGTATCTTGAATCACTCATAGAGGAGCACCATCTCCGATCAATAATTTTTGAAACTGAAGGATGACTCCGATTGCAAAACCAACAATCTACACCACGAAAAGATTAAGTTTCAATATTATTGCGCTAAATCTGGATTACAATGAAATATAGTGCTGAAAGGACAAACTGCTCCAGTGGTTGGAGGGGCAAAATTGCTTTCAGATTGATCTTCTTAAACACCATCACTATACGTTGCTTTAGTTTACCTGAAGTCAGTACCTGCCAATGAAAACTAAAAAGATATGCTCTATGTAAGAAACTGAAAAGAAATAGGGAACTTTCCCTCATTAGAGATGTCTGTTATGTTATATTGTGAGATTGCAAATCTGGATCGTACATTCAAATGAGATTCATTTGGTAAGTAGTCTGGATTGACAATCTGACAATGAAACATGTCTGTCTTTCAGAAAAAAAGAAAAAGAAAGAGAAATCTTAAAAAGTTGGAAATACGTAAACAAATCAACAAATTTAATGAATATCATTCTAATTTAATGGAGTCAGCAACCTTTGACAAGTCCCGACCCCGATATTCCCCGAATACCCGGATAGGCACGTGCTAGCCGACACCTGAGGGTGACAAAAGCCATTTATTGAATACAAGAGTAATGATTAAGAGGAAATAAGCATGAATAATCATTAGAATCTAAAGGTAATAAACAAAGTTTAAGGAAATGTCTAGAGTCCACAGAAAATGTCCTAATTCAAGATCACAAAAGGAAAGATCATTACAAGATATCACACAAGTGAGTGATAGACTGCTCCTGGTAGGGGAATGCCTTGTACGTTGTGTCGTAGTCCTCGTTTCTAAGACCTGAATGGGGGTGCAAAACAAAGGTGAGTGGACCAATATCATATATACAATAATAATAAAACAGTTACCAAGATACTAACCCCCACGGTTTATATAAAGAAAACTACTAGCATAATAAGTGATAGTTTTACTAAAAACCCTAGCATGCCAAAATTATCTCAAAAGACCTATCGTGGAAAACAAAATATAATGAGGAGTAAGTTTCCCAAATTTCCTGTTCAAGTCAACATCTAAGGAGATGGATTAAACATGAAACCGAATAAGATTGAGAAATAGGAAGAAGATTCATCTGAAATCTGGGAGAGGTTTTTAGGATGCGGGATGAAACCTTAAGCTGCTATAACTAAACTCAGGAAGAATTGCTTTGCTTTGCTTTCATGAAAACAAACCAAAAGGAGCAAGAATTGATTTGCTTTGCTTTCATGAAAACAGCCACTTCTCTTTGTGTTTACAAGGGTTTGTATGCGGTGAGGGATGAAAATTAAATAGGTTTTACTAGAGGGAATTGATAAGGGAAGGTAGCATAGTTTCTAATCTCAACAAAAGATGGCTTTCTATGAGGGCACTATAGCTAAAAGGGACTGAATCTGGACAAAATTCAGCTTTTTGGGTGCAAACTGGCTTGAGATCAGAGTTTGGATGTCGTTTGATTGGTTGGTTGAGTGTCTTTGTCTTTGGTGCCTCTCTCAGCTTTTATAGACCCTTTGGCCCGACTGTCTCTTCTCAGTCTTTAGCTGATAACATTTAGAGGGTAGTGAGTCATCATTTATTTACTTGTCATGCCCTTAAAAAGTGTTTTTTGGCTGGTGGTGAGTTGGTCTTTGTCACCCATCACCTCAATCATAGGCATGTGGCCTAAGCTTTGGTTGAAATGGACTTCAATCTTCTTCGGGCCTATCGACTGGGCTCGGGCAAGTCTTCATTTACTTTCGTGCCTTTGGGCCTTCATTATTATAAAGCCCAGTGCTTAAATATTAACCAAAATAGTGCCCCCTTTAATTGTCAAATCTGTTAA